TACTTTTTCTGTTGCCAAAAAACATTTTGTCTTAACAAAGATATAACCAACCAGAAAAGGAACTCCCTAAAGTTAGGGTTGGGACAAGGTTTTCTTTGTTTTTCCAGGAGAATACAAGCATCCAACTAAGGAATCTAAAGGCCATTGGACAAATGAGACATCTGGAGGAGGAGGGGGAATCATCAAGAGAAAATGTCCCAAGAAAAAGAATACATTGGCCTAATGACATAGCATACCTCCAACAGGGTAGAATTTCACAAATCTTCCCAAATGCTTGTTTTTTTTTTTTGCTGATCTATACTTTTTGTGTCCCAATTCAATGAAAAATTAAAGCTGGCTTTGGAGTTGGAGCGTGACTCTCTCCTTTTCTAAGCCCTAAGCATGCTTTTTTTTTTTTTAAAGATTTATTTATTATGAATACAACATCCTGCCTACAGGCCAGAAGAGGGCACCAGATCTCATTATGGATGGTTGTGAGCCACCATGTGGTTGCTGGGAATTGAACTCAGGACCTCTGGAATAGCAGTCGGTGCTCTTAACCTCTAAGCCATCTCTCCAGCCCCCTAAGCATGCTTGTTAAAGGAAAATCCAAAATCTCTGTTTCATTATCAGAAGAGTCACCTGATATGGCACAGAAGACCAAAATTAAGGGACTATTCTATTGCCATTAATCTCACAATCCTTTGGTTTTATTTTAACTCTTTAAAGCTTTTCAACAGGCAGTAGTATCACATGCCTTTAATCCCAGCACTCAGCAGGCAGAGGCAGGTGGATCTCTGTGAGTTAGAGGCCAGCCTGGTCTACAAAGTGAGTTCCAGGACAGCCTCTAAAATAATAGAGAAACCCTGTCTCAAAAAACCAAGACCAAACAAACAAACAAAAAAAACCCACAAACAAACAAAACAAAACAAAAAACCCCTCTTCTTAAGGTATAAATATTATCTTAAAATCTACAAGATTATTATATACATATAAACTTTCTGTCATGAAATTAGTGGTCATAGAGAGTACTAACTAATTCTAGAAATAAGTTTCATCTAGCTTCCTGTACATGTTTTAGGTTTAAATCTGAAGCAGGTAACTTGGAACTAAGTTTGTGTACCTCAGATGTATTTAATATATTGTGGTCCTCTGACCTTTTGGAGATCTGCTGTATATGGCATTTAAAATGTGCCCAGGCCTGCAGAGAGTTGTGGAGAAGCGGTTGATAACCAAGAGAGCAGATCTCACCAGGGAATGTAGGTGTTAGCATTGTTAAGCAATGAGTTAGGGAGTCAGGGAAGGAGCCTGAGTTTTGGGAAGTGCCTTCGGATAAGAAGTAGATCCAGTGACCTGGTCCCCAACAAAAATGATTAACTTTTCTGCAGTGAATCATGACTATTCCTAACAGTGACCTCTGAAGACTCCAAAAAGATGATGGGGCTGGCCTGCAATGACAAATCCACCGGGACTGTGATAAGGCCATTAAGCTGACAAACGCCACCCAAAGATCAGCTTTGGACTACAAACTGCTCAGGACAACTTAACGTGGTTAGCTAAGATGGTCCAGCCTCACACACTACTCCAGTCAGGACTTGAGACAAATCCTGCACTTTCCCACCACACAGAGACTGGACAACAAATGATACTGTTAGCTCTCCCAGGGTTTGGCCATTATCCCAATTTCCTCAGGGTCCCCTAAAGATGCTGTCACCTCCAGACAAGAGTTTGTAATTTAGGGCTGGAGAGATGGCTCAGAGGTTAAGAGCACTGACTGCTCTTCCAGAGGTCCTGAGTTCAATTCCCAGCAACCACATGGTGGCTCACAACCATCTGTCATGAGATCTGGTGCCTCTTCTGGTATGTGCAGACATACATGGAGGAAGGATGTTGTATTCATAATAGTGTTATTCATAATAAATAAATCTAAAAAAAAGAGTTTGTAATTTAAAGAACACTATGCCCACATTCCTGAAAGGTGGGTTGAGTGCTTTTTGGCTGTTTGGTGGATTATGGATGTTTGTCATTGTTTAGGGGGTTAGGGGCTAGTTGCAAGTTATTGGTCATGGTCAGGGAAGAAATTAAGCAAAGGACTTTAGATTCAGAAATCTCTTTCTGAAAAAAGGGGGATACAGAAATGACAGAGGGTAGATTATTGAATCTACTTTTAGACTAAAAGCAACTACTATTTTCAAATATTTTACATTGGTATGAATTTTCATATATTGATACAAAGTTAAGGTTATTTTTATTACAACATACTGTAAGGTTTTGTATCTATGCAACTCATTTAAAATTGTAAAGTTCTAGTCCTTGAAAGCTACTATTACAAACTGTTGAGGATAATTAAGATAACAATCAAACTTGTAGTAAAGGTTTAGAATGTAGACAGAAATCAGCCTTAACTGATATAAGTTTCATATATTTTAGATAGATAGGTAATCTTCAAACACTTCAGAGATCTACAGGATATGGCATTTAAGATGTTTTTTGCAATATAAGGCTTTTCATGACAGTGAGATAGGTCTGCTCCTGGCAGCACCAATTTACTTCATAAAAGGTGATGGGAATCAAAGAGCCTCCATATGGAGTTTGCTTCAAATGTGACGTAACTAGCCACTGGGCAAGAATCTGCCCTTGTCTCAACTACTGACTGTATGCTGTCCAAATTGGACATGCAGGACACCAGGAGAGGACTGCAAACATTGCCAAGACAAGGTAGGACAGTCCTTCAAAATTCCTGCTTCACAGAAAAGTCTGTCGGATATTCTAGGTCAGCAGGCTGGAGATGGATGTCTTAATGTTACAGAGGAATCTTGGATGACTGTCTAAGCAGCCAGCTGTCTCTGCTTTGTGTGTGTGTGTGTGTGTGTGTGTCTTGGTCTTTCAATACAGGCTTTTGCTCTGTGGAGCTTTGGAACCTGTCTGGAAACTGATTCAGTACACCAGGCTAGTCTCGAATTCACAGAGATCTGCCTGCCTCTGCCTCCCACTGCCACCTGGCTGTCTTTCTTTCTATAATTTTGGAAGTTGCTTGCTCTGCACTTCCTGTTTACTGAGACAATATATCCTTCTAGGGTCTCTGATGGGATTAAAGACTAGATAGTTACAATTTTTCTTGTTAACAAATTCAGAAAAGAAACTTACAAAAGAGATGTAAGAATGTATACATTGAGAGACATAAACACTTAAGTTGTTTCTCTAAGGAAGTGTTTTAAGGTTTGAAAAGACATTTTTAGATTTGTAGTAAAATTTATGATAGAAAGTGGTTTAAGTATAAAACTTTGAACTCACCAAGATAGGATAGATAATAAAGTACTTTCTCCAATTTGCCAAATACAAATCAACTGAACAATGTGAATGTAAATCTTACCTGATAATTGTTCTTATTGAATAGTTTTACTGTGTTAAAAGGTTTTTTTTTTTGAGACAGGGTTTCTCTATGGCTTTGGAGGCTGTCCTGGAACTAGCTCTTGTAGACCAGGCTGGCCTCGAACTCACAGAGTTCCGCCTGCCTCTGCCTCCCAAGTGCTAGATTAAAGGCGTGCGCCACCACCGCCTGGTCCTAGTAATTGTCCTTACTTTATGTAGGCTTACTGTGTTAAAAGCAAAACTTTTCCTTTTACTTAGACAAAAAGTGGGAAATGTTGTAGGATATTTGATTGTACTGTGAAATTCTGAGAATGTGTTAATAAAATTAACCTTGGATTGGGGGTGGAGCCAGTGACTAGTTGACGAGAATTAGCAATAGAGTCCGGAGGACAGAGAGACACAGAGGAAGAGGCAGGGAGGGATTTGTGAGATATACAGTCCCTTTTGGTTTGGGACAGTGTGGAGAGACACTCTCCAGCTGGGTCTCAGGTTAAAGAGGAAGGTCAGCTGGTTGCTTCTCGGCTTCTCTGATCCAGCAGGGTTTCACTCTATACCTGACTCCCGAGTCTTTACTGGTAAATAGAACAACTTAAACAAAACAACAGCACCCATTAGAAGCCAGGCTCTCTGTTGTACAGCTGTAATTTTAGCACCAGGAAAGCAGAAACAGAAATCCCTGGGATTTCCTGGGATACACGTGCATGCGTGCACGCACACACACACACACACACACACACACACACGAGCACAGCTGGGTATGGTGGCTCACACTAATCATCTTGGGAGGCTTAAACAAGAGGAGGTCAGGCCCTAGGTTCAATTTTCAGTATTACAAACACAAAGGATATTGCAAAACAGCGCTTCACTTTCCACTCTAACAGTCCCCACAGTTGGGAGTTGGGGATGTAGTTCAGTTGGTAGAATATTTGCTTAGCATATACGAAGCCTTGGTTTCAATCCCCAGCAGTACATAAACTGGGTGTGGTAGTGTACACCTGAAATCCCATCACTCAGGAGGTGGGATTACAGGAGGTTCAGGAGTTTAAGGTCTTTATTGGCTACATGTCAAGACGTAGGCCAGCCCAGGTTACTTGAGATCCTGTTCACCCCAAACCGGAATGAACCAAGCAAGTGAAATAACAGAATAGAAGATAGGAAGCACCCGAGTCCCCAAATATTTACTGTCACACTAACTCTGGACTGTCCAACCCCTCGATTTCCTTTTATTTTGTTTCTTATTAAATTTATTTCATAGGATTTTCTTATTAAGTTGATTTTGTAGGATGGTGGTACATGTGCCATGGTTCACATTTGGAGGATTTCTCACCTTCCACATGTTATGTGCTGGGTATCAAACTCGTCAGGCCTGGTGGCATGTGTGTCTACCTGCTGAGCCACCTCAACAACCTTCCTGCTTGTTTATTTTGGAGACAAAGTCTCACTCTGCAGCCTTGATTGGCCTAGAATGCTCAACAAGCCTGTCCCAGCCTCCCAAGTGCTGGGATTACAGGAACAGGTACATCCAGTCTCAGGACCTTTTCTTTTCCATCTCTGAGACAAGGTCCCACCATGCAGTCCAATCAGGATTTATGTTTTCATAATATAGCATATCATAAGGATAATAAAAACAAATAAAAGAGACAAAAATGTGCACTTATATGCACTTTATAAATGCAAAAGGGCCAAACCTATATTAATGTAAGCTAATAAATCAATACAGAATATTTATTACAGAACTATGAAGACCTACACTTTTTTCGCAGATGCTAGATACTTGACTAGAAAGTCTTTCAGTTTGGATATGTGCATCATCTCCTTCATCGTGGTGTCTCTGCTTCTCAGCTGGATCAATCCACTTTCCAAAGTGGTCTCGGAAATCACGACTGTGAAGAGGATGCTCATTTCGTCGTACCTGAGCAGCAGTCAAACAAAACCCATGAGCACCACACGACTTCACCTCCTCAGAGTCCGCGCCACTTTCCCTTCAGTCAGGCCCCGAGAGTGGGGCCAAATCGCACCCCTCTTTTCTGAAGCATACTCAAAGTGAAACTTTGAATACTGTACTGGCCAGAAGTAAAAAACTAAGACCTAAGAAGTAAACATTGGCACCTGAGGGGGTACTGTGAATGAATTCCACAATGACCTCAGTCTTTTGAATTTGGCTTTGACAGAAAAATATTTGTAGACTAAAGTCTCTTATAATAAACCATATTAAAACGAGGATTTGGTATACAACAGATTATTTGGTATTATAACAAATTCATACTTCATGACTTAACATGCTAACCTATTGTTTTTATTTTTATTTATTTATTTTTTTGGTTTTTCGAGACAGGGTTTCTCTGTATTGTTTTGGAGGCTGTGCTCTGTAGACCAGCCCGGCCTCAAACTCACAGAGATCCACCTGCATCTGCCTCCCGAGTGCTGGGATTAAAGGCGTGCACCACCAACGCCTTACTTATTTATTTTTATTTTATTCATGAGTGTTTTGCTTGTATGTATTTGTGTATTACATATGTGCCTGATGCCTGTGGAGGACAGAAGAGGACATTGGATGCCCTGAACCTGAAGTTAATGGAGAGTTGTGAGCTGCCACGTGGGTGCTGGTAATCAAATCTATGTCCTCTAAAAGAGCAGCCAGTGTTCTTAGCCACTGAGTCATCTCCCCAGCCCCAGCATTCGTTTTTAAAAAATTAGGCATGGCCGGGTGGTGGTGGCACACACCTTTAATCCCAGCACTCGGGAGGCAAAGGCAGAGGCAGGCGGATCTCTGTGAGTTTGAGGCCGGGCTGGTCCAACAGCCTCCAAAGCAATACAGAGAAACCCTGTCTCGTAAAACCAAAAAAATAATAAAAAATAAAAAAATTAGGCATGAGCCAGCTGATGTTGGCACAAATCTTTAATCCCAGCACTCAGAAGGCAGAGACAGGTGGATATCTGTGAGTTTGAGGCCAGTCTGGTCTACAAGAACTAGTTCCAGGACAGGCTCCAAAGTAATACAGAGAAACCCTGTCTTGAAAAATCAAATAAACAAAACTAGGCATGGTGGTATATACCTGTAACTCCAGCACTCAGGAAGAGGAGGCAGGATGATCAAAGATCAAGGTAATCCTCAGCTACATACTGAGTTCAAAGCCAGCCTGAACCTGAATCCCCCAGAATATACTTGTTTATCTTAGACTTTCCCCTTGAATCTGGAGCATTGCTTCTCAGTCCATAAACTACCCTTATGAGAGAGGTCACTTCTATGTTATCTTAGGTCAGGCCAATCCTGACTCCCACAATGCCTGAGGTACATTTTGTTTTATGTGCTGCTTTTTGGAATTAGGATCTCATTATGTAGCCCAAGTAGACTTCAACTTTGTGATCCTCCTGCCTCAGCCTACAGAGTGCTGAGCTGGCAGGCATGAGCTACCATGCCTGCAAAGTAAAAGAACAAAACATAAAATCTCCTAATCTTAGATATTTATTCAACATAAAAAGCTAAAAAATAATCATAAAAGGATAAGTTATTTTATTAAAAAGCAGAAATAAAATAGTAAACTAGTAATACTAGAGAGAATTCAATTATAAGATTGTTTTAATAATCCAGACAAATTAGTGACCTTGATCTGGGTAATGGTTGGGAAGCCAGAACAGTGTGAACTTGAGATCTACACAAGAGCTAGGCATAGTGGCTCACACCTATAATCTTAGCACTCAAGAGGCTGAGGCAGGTGGATTCCCATGAGTTTAAAGTCAGCCTGGGTTACAGTGTAAGACTCTGTATTAAAAGATCTTGGCCGGGCGTAGGTGGCACACACCTTTGATCCCAGCCTTTGATCTCTGAGTTTGAGGCCAGCCTGGTCTACAGATCGAGTTTCAAGACAGCCTCCAAAACAATACAGAGAAACCCTGTCTCAAAAAACCAAAAAAAAAAAAAAAAAAAAAAAAAAAAAAGCCGGGCGTTGGTGGCGCACGCCTTTAATCCCAGCACTTGGGGAGGCAGAGGCAGGTGGATCTCTGTGAGTTCGAGGCCAGCCTGGTCTACAAAGTGAGTTCCAGGACAGACTCCAAAGCCACAGAGAAACCAAAAAAAACCCCAAAAAACCCCAAAAAAAACAAAAAAACAAAAACCAAAAAAAAAGAAAGAAAGATCTTGGGGGTATAGGGGAGGCTGTATGCACTGTCAGACAGACTGAAGTCGAGTCAGGGACACACTTGACTTGGTATATACTGGACTGGGGGGGGGGACGACAATAAAGATGCCTCATATTGAGTATCTGTTGTCTGAAATGTTTTTGTTTTGTTTTGTTTTTTGTTTTTTGTTTTTTCGAGACAGGGTTTCTCTGTGGCTTTGGAGGCTGTCCTGGAACTAGCTCTTGTAGACCAGGCTGGCCTCTAACTCACAGAGATCCACCTGCCTCTGCCTCCCAAGTGCTGGGATTAAAGGCGTGCGCCACCAACGCCCGGCTTGTCTGAAATGTTTAAACCAGATGTGTTTTAGAGTTAAACAAACAAACACCACCCTGAATATTAAAATCTATATAATTAGCCATCTTGGGGCTGGGACCCAAGTCTGAACATGAAATCCACTCATGTTTCACATCCCTTTATACATACAGCTTAAAGATAATTTGACAGTATCTTTATGCATGTGTGTTTTGACTATAGCCTGTGGCAGGACATATGGAAATTTCTACATGCTACAAAAATACTAGCATTTATAAAGTGTCAGATGTTAGATTTCTCACTGAGAGATGACTAACTAGAAGCTAGCTTCAGCTCTGATTAGCAAAGATGCCAATCACTGAGGAGACTGTGTCTCTGTCCTCCACTTAAGTCTCAGACAGAACCCAGTGCCAGCCAGGAAAAGCATTCCTTTTATGTTCCTTCAGTTCTGATTTTATACACCCAACTTTCATCCCTGAAAAACTGATAAACTGAGGTATATCTGTAAATACTTAACAAACACTGTTCCTTGCTAGGGCAATTATTAGCTTAAGGCACAAAGTTCTGTGAAAGGAAAAGCTAGGAATCCTTTTTGGGGGGATTTTTCAAGACAAGTTTTCTCTGTGTAGTGCTGGTTGTCCGGAACTTGCTCTGTGGACCTTGAACTCAGAGATCTACCTGCCTGTCTTCTGAGTGCTGGGATTAAAGGTGTTTGCCCACCACTGCCTGGCTAGTAATTATTTTTAAAAAATAATTCTACGTTTGCCTACATGTATGTATACCACCTGTGATGGGGGATGTCCTTCTGTATGTTGTGAATACGGTTCTAGCTGTTTCAGTCAATGGACAGACAAGATGTAGCCAGGAAGGAAGTATAGGCAGGACTATCAGACTAGGAGGATTCTGGGAAGAGGAATGCAGAGAGTGAGTTGAGAGAGAGAGAGGAGATGCCATGTAGCTACCAGGAAGGTAGGACACCTGGACATTCTCTGGCACTCCAAGACTTACCGTGGTGACACATAGATTAATAGAAATGGGTTAATAACTAAGAGAAAGCTAGCCAATAAGAAGCCTGAGCCATCAGCCAAATGGTTTATAATTAATGTAAGCCTATGTGTGTTTATTTGGGACTGAATGGCTGTGGGACTGGGTGGGACAGAAACTTCCGTCAACATACCTGTGTACTTGGTACCCAGGGGAACCAGGAGGCCATGGATGCCTGGAACTGCAGTTACGGATGGCTAAGTGCCATCCTAGCCCTAGCCCTATGTGGGTGCTGGGAAGGCCCTCTGCAAGAGCTGCAGGTGCTCTTCACCAATGAGTTCTCTCTCCAGGGTTCTCTCTCACCTGTTATTATTTTGGAGTGGTTTTGTTTTACTTCTATGTACATGTGTGTTTATTTGTGCATGCCTCATGTATGCAGTGCCTGTGGAGGGCAGAAAAGGCTGCTGAATCCCAGGCTGCAGTTGTTAAGTGAACAAGTGATGTGCAACATTGAGCTGCGCAACATGGCTGCTGGGAACCAAGCGTGGGTCCTCTAGAAGAACAGCAAGCACTCAACCAGTGAGCTTCTCTCCAGCCCCATTTTAGTTTTTGGTTTTTCTTTTCTCTGTGTAGCCCTGGCTGGCCTGGAAGTCACAGAGACCCACACGCCTGCCTCCTGAGTATGGGATTAAAGGCATGTGCTACCACCGCCAGGCAACCTGCCTCATTTTTTTGTTTGCTTTTGTTTTTGGATGTTTTTCAAGACAGGGTTTCTCTGTGGCTTTGGAGGCTGTCCTGGAACTAGCTCTTGTAGACCAGGCTGGCCTCGAACTCACAGAGATCCACCTGCCTCTGCCTCCCCAGTGCTGGGATTAAAGGCATGCACCACCACCACCCGGCCTTCTCATTTTAAAGATGATATTCAGAAGAAATTTGTTTCTATTAGTATAATGAAACACACAATCAAACTAAATAGTGACAAGGAAGGTAATTCTTACTTTGAATAGAGTTGTTCTAAAGAAGACTGCACAGTCTCCAAATAACCAGGCCACACGGAAATCCCATTCTCCAGAAATTCATTAAGTAGCCCTTGACACACCTGGAGGAAAAAAAGAAGATTTCAAATATGAAAGAAAAGTTTGTGAAACTATAAACGACTTTCTTCAACCTTTAAAATCCATGTAAACTGGCCGGGCGGTGGTGGCGCACGCCTTTAATCCCAGCACTCCGGAGGCAGAGGCAGGCGGATCTCTGTGAGTTCGAGACAAGCCTGGTCTACAATAGTTAGTTCCAGTACAGCCTCCAAAATGATACAAAGAAACCCTGTCTCGAAAAACCAAAAAAAAAAAAAAAGAGTTTATGCACTGAACTCCTTACTGAACTTCGTATTTCCTCTAAAAATGAAGAAATTAAGCCATGCAAATTGAATACTGACTGCAAATCTTCCAAAAAATAGTTTTGTACCAACCAAGAAGAATTATCTCATTGTCATTTAAAACACACAAGAGAAAACAAAAACTCCAGCGGTGTAAAAACCCACGTTAACTGTAAAGTCATGTGACAGATGAGAACCTAGGGGTTTTCCTTCCACTTCAGGAGGAGAAGGGAGGGACAGCCCCAGAGACCCCAGCATGGCATTCAGTAAGTCAACCCCACAACTGCTTCCTGTCAGCTTTCTATCATCTGGCAGCAAGCTGGCAGGCTCAGTGGGGAAAGGCAGTTACTGCCTGGGCTCCTGAGTTCCGTTCCCAGGGCCTGGACCCCACGCCACACAGGAGCACACATAACAAGTTACATGGACAACTTTAAAAAGTCACGGCAAATTAACTTTATTGAACCCACCTGTCTCAGTTCTGCTGTTGGGCCTTTCCCCACATCCAAAGCGACCTTAATAGGGGCTAAACAAGGGTGGAGTTTAAGCACCTGAGGCAGTGGAGGGACCGGAGGGAAAAGGAAAGCTCAGTTAACATGTCGAAGGGGACAAACAAAACCAACAGCAACACCCCCACATAATTTTAGTTCCCGAGTCTGTGTGAAATAGCAAAAGCACCTTTCGCTGACAGCTCTTCTTCCTTGCAAAGGAGTTCTCTGAGAGCTGGAAGGAATCGTAGATGTAAGCCAAAGTGCCCAGGTCTAGGTCCCCATTTATGGACAGAACACAAGGAACCACGGTTTTCCGCCCATCTCGGCCCTTCATAGAAGAGAATAAATAAAGTACCATTTAGCAGAACTTTTCTTTGTGTATCTTTCAAGACAGGGTTTCACTGTGTAGCCCTGGCTGTCCTGGAATTGTGTAGACCAGGCTGGCCTCAAACTCGCAGAGATCCGACTGCCTCTGCCTTCTGAGTGCCAGGATTAAAGGTATGCGCCACTACACCCACCTAGCAGACCTTTTTTTTAATGTTACATATTTTAGACTTAAAAGGTAAGGAAAAAAATCACAAATTCATTTCATAAACCACTTACCTCATGCCAAGACCATGCTGAGCATTGGGCCCAAAGAGGATGACACTGTCAATCACCTGTAAATGTCAAACCTAGCAGTTCCACTCCCAAGGAGGATGGGTTGACTCACCCCGAGTGGGCCTGGGCCTCAACTCTTTCAATGCTTCCTGGGAGAGGCCTGCTATGTGGAAAAGGAGCATCTGTTTAAATAGTTCCTTTACTGTATTATACGTGTGATAATGGGGGGTGCTGTGCCGATACATGCCTCTGAGCTAAGAGGACACCTGATATTACTTTCACCAAGTGGAGCCCAGGAACTCACTCAGTTGTCAAGCTGAGCAGCAAGTGCCTCCCCGACTCAGCCACCTCTAGAACCCTGCTTTCGCTTTTGATTTGAGCCAGTGTTTCACTACATAGCCCTGGCTGACCTCGGCATGTTTCAATCACCCGTGTTCTGGGATTAAAGGCATACACTACTACAATCCCAGTTCCTAGATTTACAGTCACTAAGACTTGGATTTCATCCTAAGAAATAAATGAACCTACATTGGACAGGGCTGGAGAGATGACTCAGGGGTTAAAAGAACTTGTTCTTGCCAGGTGGTAGTGGCGAATGCCTTTAATCCCAGCACTTGGGACGCAGAGGCAGGTGGATTTCAATGAGCTCGAGGGCAGTCTGGCCTACAGAGTGAATTCCAAAGAAAGAAACCCAGTCTTGAAAAACCATGAGAGAGAGAGAGAGAGAGAGAGAGAGATTGTAGAGGACTAGAGTTTGATTCCCAGTTCTCACGTGGTGGACTACAACTGTAACTCAAGTTCTAGGGTATCTGATAGCCTCTGGGGTACTGCATGCATGCAGTACACAGAGATACATGCAGGCAAAGCATCCGCACAGTCAAATAAAATGGAATAAATATGAATGTACACTGGAGAGGCCATCTTAACCAAGTGATAAAAGACAACATACTGATACCCATTGATGTTCCCTACCTAATATACCCTGAGAAGGGCATCCCCATCATATTCCTGGCACAAATACATAAATCAGAAAACTTCTGAAAGATCTGCTCAAATACAAACTAGCCTTTTCCAAAAAAAAAAAAAAAAAAAAAAAAAGCCAGGCATGTAAGAATAGGAAAGATAAAAGGAACTGTTCATCTGGAGAATAGACAGAACAACCCCACGGAACACAGTGCTCTGGAATGGATCCTGGGCCTGTAAAGCACATTGCGGAGATATTCAATTAGATCTCAAGTGCTTTGTGGAATGGCTACTAGTGGTGGGTTATGTTAATTTCCTGACTTTGATGGCTAGTTATGGCTATGTAGTTGGGCACTGTCAAAAAATGTACACAGGTATTAGGGGCCGGTTACAGGACACCATACAATTATTCTTCAGCAGTTCAGAAAGTAGAATCTGGTAAAGGACACATGGGCGTTCAGGGTGACACACACCTGTAATGCAGACGCATTCCCGGGATACATGTGTAAGAGTTCTTGATCTCCTAGGTTCCACAGAGTCTCGATTGGCTCCTTTCCCCAGGGAAAGGAGTAGTAAAGTTTGCTTCCCTTTCGCCCTGCTTCATCCTGACAGTCAGTGCTGCTGAAGTTAGATGGACTCATAGCAAACTGCAAAACAAACGGTCTCGTTGACTCAACGAGGTCTAATTTATTTGTGTTGTTTTCTGAGACCCAGCTGGCCAAAGATCCTCCTGCCCCTGCTCCTGAGTGCTGTGATTAATTTACTTCTACTTCCATAATTATCTCTGAGAATTAAGGTTGCCTGAGACTTTCATCCAGCAACAGGTTGAAAAGTAAAGTCCCGAACATAAAGGCTCAGCCATGGGCATCTGAGCTGTGTATCTGTAACAAGGGAACCCGATACCCACTGGAACAACAGGCACCATTACTAGGAGCCTTCTGTTTGTTTTTTTTGTTTGTTTGTTTGTTTGTTTTTTGGTTTTTCGAGACAGGGTTTCTCTGTGGCTTTGGAGGCTGTCCTGGAACTCGCTTGGTAGACCAGGCTGGTCTCGAACTCACAGAGATCCGCCTGCCTCTGCCTCGCGAGTGCTGGGATTAAAGGCATGCGGCCACCAACACCCGGCGGAGCCTTCTTTTTTGTATCTGCTCTTACAGCTCTCTCCTATGAATTCAGCATAGTGGGGTGAGAGCGGAGCTCAGTAGCAGAGGGCTTGCTCAGCACATTCTAGGACCTTGGTTCCATCTCCAGGACTTCAGCAAACTGAAAAAACCCAAACAGGTGGGTAGGAGGCTCACACCTGTGATCCCAGCTAAAACAGGAAGGTTGCCACTAGCTCTAGGCCAGTGAACTACAGGTCAGCTTGGATTAGAGGGATGCCTTGTATCAAAATAGCTAAAATCAGGGCTACTGAGATGGTTCAGCAGTAAGGTGTTTGCTGCTAAGCCTGAACATCAGAGTTGGATCCCCAGAACGTACATAGTGGAAAGAGAGAATTAACTCCCTATAGTGGCCCTCTGTCACATGTTTGCCATGGCATTTGTGATAATAGGCTTGCCCAAAATGAATAAAAGTGAAGCGACATCTTTTTAAAAAAGATTTATTTTTATTTATGTGTATCTGTGTGCCACATGTTTACAAAATGCCTTTGGAGGCTAGGAGTCAGATCCCTCAGAGGTGGAGTTACAGGCGGTTGTAAGTTACCTACCTGGGGTGTTGGGAACCAAACTCTGGCCCTCTGGAAGACAACTGAGCCATAGCTACCTCACATTCTATTTATAAGCCAGGTGTGGTAGTGCACACCTGTAAGCCCAGTATTCAGGAGGCTTAGGCAAGTGAATTAACATGATGAGGGTGTTAGCACTCTTCATAATCCTTGCGCTCAGAAAGGTAAGAAGGTCAAGGTCATCCTAGGCTACAATGGAGTTTGAGAGCAGCCTGGGTGATGTGAGGTCCTGCTTTAAAAACAAGAACAAGAAGGCAAATAAATAAAAGAATTCAATATTAATTAAATTATTGCAGTACCTTTCTCCACCACAGAAGCCTATGACGCAACCAGAAATCAAACCACTGGCTTGAATTCCTTGCAGGAGTAAACCACACCAATGAAGCTTCAGTCTTTTCACCAATTCTTTGTGTGTATAAAAAAAAAAAAGTCAAAAAGTTAGCTTTCATATGGAAATTTTATGATGTATCCCCAAGTGGGAATGATTGATTCTTGATTATTTAAAAGTACCAAACCAGGTTATCTGTCACATTTTGTACCTTTTAACACTCCTAGGTATCTGCTTAGTGTCCAAAACAGGATGGAAACACACTCCAATCTGAGCAAGACCATAGGGTAGCCTTTTGTTTACCAGATCCAGGCCATTAACATAGTGCTTCAAGGCGCCTGTCACAAAACAAACCAATCATTATATGCATCTATTCCACATATATAAATTGCCAGTGAACTCTGGGACATTAAATACCATTTAACTTTAGGTACTGACTCTTGAACATTTTAAAGGGGGACTGGGGACACTTGATCTAAGAGGGACATGAGTAGAGGCAGGAAGGCTGCAGATGAAGAACCGGGAACTAAATCTTTTTTTTTAAAATTATAATTTATTTAACTTTATTTTATGTGCATTGATGTGAGGTGTCAGATCCCCAGGAACTGGAGTTACAGCTGTGAGCTGCCATGTGGGTGCTGGGAATTGAACCCGGGGCCTCTGGAAGAAGCAGCCAGTGCCTTAAAACACTGAGCCATCTCTCCAACCCCGACTCTTGAACATTTTGGTGTGAAAATTTCCAATCTACAAAACACTGGAAGAGGCCGGGCGGTGGTGGCCCACGCCTTTAATCCCAGCACTCGGGAGGCAGAGGCAGGAGGATCGCTGTGAGTTCGAGGCCGGGCTGGACCGACAGCCTCCAAAACAATACAGAGAAACCCTGTCTCGTAAAAACCAAAAAAAAAAAAAAAAAAAATAAAATAAAATAAAATCCATATTCACCAAAACACAGAATGGTAAGTACAACATGCTAGGTGTGTCGATGCACTCATGTTATTCTGGGCTGAGGCAAGAGGCACTTTGGGACAGCCTGGAATACATAGGGATTTCAAGGCCAACGTGGGATCCATAGTGAAATCCTGTCTCATAAGGGGAAACAAAAGAATGACATAAAGTCTGTCATCTTTGAAGAAAAAAAAGCCAGGTGTGGAGCTGTGCACCTGGAATCCCAGCACTTGGGAGGTAGAGACAGGAGGATCAGGAGTTCAAGGTCATCTTCTGCTGCCAGGAGACCTGGTCTCAAATAAAAACAAAATCCTACCCCCAAACCACCAAATGGTACCTACATGCTCTTTACCTAGACTGCTCAATGAACATTTTGCCTTGTTTTTCTCTCATTCACTCCAAACACTGCTATCATTTGTTTACTAAAAACATTCTCTATAACTATTTTATTAGAGTATAAACTTAACTAAAAAAGAGTATCATCTAACATAAGGCTGGTATATTTTTTAATTCTCACCCCAGGCCTCAGGTTTTCTTTTTCTGGCTCATTAAGTAGGTTCTTGGACTGTGTGTTGATTAGGCATCTTCTATCTCTCAATCAAGAACATTTCACGAGGCTGGAGAGATGCAATAGTGTGTAGAAGCAGCTGCTGCCAACCTGAAGACCTGAGTTTTGTTTCTGGGGCCCATCTGGCAGGAGAGAATTAGCGTCTAATGTGCCCTGTGGTATACCCATATACACACATACAAAAGAAGTTTAAAAATACAATAAATAAGAAGAACTTCCTATCAATTTTGCCTTTTTGTTCTGTTTTACTGAGACAAGGTCTCACTTATGTTACCCACACTGAACTGAAACATCGCATTTTTATAGTCTGTGCAACCATGAAGGTAGAGATTTAAGAGGCTGGGAGGTAAAACAGGTTGATGTTTGAAGACATGGTAAATGAGCAGATTATTTAACACAATGTCAAGAATATGAAATAAAATACTATAAACTAATCACTTTGTACAATTTTTCGAGACGGGGTTTCTGTGTGTGGCACTTGCTTTGTAGACCAGGCTGGCCTGTCTCCAAGTGCTGGGATTAGAGGTGTGCATCAACACTCTCCAGCTCATTTTTGTTTTAGAATTTCTACATCATGTTGTATTCGATTTTAAAGAGAAAGATGGGGGGGGGTGTTGAAGATATGCTTAGAGGTTAAAGAGCACTGGCTGCTCTTCCTGAGGTTCTGAGTTCAATCCTGAGCAACCACATGGTGGCTCATACTTAAAAAATAATACATAAATAACATTTTAAAAAATAAAAAAAGCCGGCGTTGGTGGCGCACGCCTTTAATCCCAGCACTCGGGAGGCAGAGGCAGGCGGATCTCTGTAAGTTCGAGACCAGCCTGGACTAACCAAGCGAGTTCCAGGACAGCCTCCAAAGCCACAGAGAAACCCTGTCTCGAAAAAACCAAAAAAAAATTAAAATAAAAATAAAAAGAGGAAGATGCACAAAAATCATCTGTAAGACTTCATCTTCTAGATGGCAAGCTAAAAAATTATCTAGCAAGGAAAAAACAATGACATATTTGACAATTTCATGTGTCTACTCAAGAGTAGACAAAAGTCTCGTATCTATGAAAATTCAAATACGTGACTGAATTAAGGTCCTAATTCTTCGGGTTTGAGCTCTAAGGGGTTGCTCTTCAAATAGAATGCTTTACCCATTTCCTCAGGCATGATGCCACGGACATTTGCCTGAAGGTAGATCACCCTGGAATTTGTGACAAACTAAAAGGGAATCTGGTCATTTCTTTCGTGGAGGGCCAGTTGCTGTCTCCGAATGCCTTTCCACCCCGATCCTGTTGAGAGGCACGAAACGCAAAGAGCCATACCGTGAAGAAGGGTCTCTCGTAGCTTCCCAGAAGTTTTTAATAAGTTCTCAAGAAATGTCACTAGCTGTTCCTTACTCAGTTCTTTGTCTTGCAAGATCTCGCGTACACACTCTGGAGAGACTAACCTGAAGGCACTGTCCCCGGGCTGCGAAGGGCCTGGCTCGTGGTGGAGGGCGTCCACGGCCAAGACCTGCTCCCTGAACACCACCACGGAGGACCACCACTGGGAGGCTAGGTTCTTCCGCAACTCTACCCCCAGAGGCCCGAAGCCCGGGTGGCAGCCGCTCAGGAGGGCGGCGGGGCTGAGCTGCTGCGGCGTCCCGCTGAGGAAGTGCCTTCTTCGGCAGAGGTCTATCAGCGCCTCCCGGTCGTCGGCACGCTCGGGAGCGGCCGGCTGCTGCGGCCCCTCGGTGGGGCCCGCACACCCAGAGAGCCAGCACCTGCAGGCGCGGCGGCAGGCCCGGGCCGCGCCACCCGAGCGCATGTCTTTCGGAGTCGGGCACAGCACGCCTCGGGTGCAAGCCCAGTCTCAAACCTAGGAGCGCACCGGACCCCAGGGCGCAGGCGCGGCGGAAACGAACGCGCTGCAAGCCGCACCCCCGGAAGCACGTCATCGCCATCTGGCAGCAGCTTCTTGGGCGTATTCCGGCCTCCGCCTATGGTTGTTTACTAGTTTCCCGTGGTTTGCAGCTCCACTCACATCAGCTTTTTAACCAACCTGTAACTACCACGGGGTTAGCAACAACTCGTGTTTTTCCGAGTTGCCAAGACTACCAAAATGTTGTTCGGGACAGCGCTGGTGTTGAGGCCTAGCGTTCAATCTCCAAGGGAAATGCGTTCGCTTTTCACTTCCGTGTGCAAACATTCTAGTCCTTTAAACCCCAACTGGCAAATGCTGCCGCTGGTGGCCCACTTCAGACCCCTCCCGGGTGTGGCTGGGGAGGCAAGGTCTTTCTCTACTTTCTCTACTCCCTCCTCCCCACCGCTAGGGTTTCTGTGCAACCGCCCTGGGTGTCCAGGATATGTAGACAAGGCTGGCCTCGAACTCAGATCTGCCCGCTTTTGGGATTAAGAGTGTGTCTGGGCTTAAAAGCTTCTCGGAAAGTAGCTATAGAGCCCAGAGATGAGTAAACATAGCAAAACAACATGTAATACTCGACTAGAAGAGTGCTAGCGAGTTCATAGGGTTGGGGAGTGTGCAAATGAGGCGCAGGCCAGGTGTGGTAGCTCACTCCTTCAATCTCTTTAGTCTGGGCACTTAGAAGGTGCAATCTGTAACTTCAAGGCCAGCCTGGTCTGTATCAAGTTTCAGGAAAGCAAGAGTGGGAAGGTGTGTGTGGGCTGCAAAACCCCAGGCAAGATGGCTCTACGCAAATAAATAAAAGGAGAGAATGGGGAGAAAACCACATTTATTAGTTAAAGACAAACCACAGGCTGGACACAACACACATGCTAAAAAGTGGACTGTCTTTTAAAACTTCAAAGGTAACTTTTTTATCAAGCCCCACAATCATTTCCATATTTACAAAATAAAGGCCCACATTAAGACATAACATTAAAGTATATAATAAATGCTCCAATCTACCCCTATAATTAAAAACCATGAATTTGACTAGCCATGCCACTGAAAACCACTCAGGATACTAGAGATGAACCAGTTTTCAATGTATCAGCCCTGGAAAACATTTGATGTTAATCCCAGCTCCCACCCCCAGCACATTCTAATTTGTTTTACATTTTATAAATGAGGAATTAACATCGAAGCCTGTTTAAAAAAACAAATGAAATTTCTCTAAGACCTTTTCCCTGTGCAAAACATACCATTTTCTGGGAAGACATTTATACCTACTTAGCTCCATTCTAAAATAAAGCTGTTGGCGAGCCCACTTAAATCTATGGCTATCAGCTGATCTTTCTAGCAGTTAGCATGTCAAATATAACCTGAAGAACTTTTCTTAAAACTGTGCTTGTGATTATGTTGCCTGATTATTGGTTTTGAGGGTATCATCCTTGTGTTGGAGTACTGACTAGCCTACAATTTGAAGACCTTTAAAATGCCCTAAAATAATGTGGAGACATTCCTGACTACCAGTGTGGCTCTAGGAACCCTGGCAAGTTGGTGAGGACTAGAACCTACAAAGTAAGCTGCACTAAGGACACAGTGCACAGCTCTTGGGCTAAGTCTTTCAACTTTGCATTTTGGTCAAGATTAAAGTATGCCAGCACTTACTGTTTTGCAAATTAGAACATATTATCCCTGATGTTGAAAGTTACTGACAAATTTATAAAATCCAGTTCCTAGAGACATCATCATCTTAAGGGCCTTTCCGATTCCCTCTCCTCCTAAGTCCTAAATCAAAGAATGGCAAGTAGTCAACTTTAGTTTTTCTGTAAAAATAAAACACCAAAATGAAAATCCCCCCAAAACATACTACCTAAGCCAAGTTTTACATGACATTATATATGTAAAATAAAGTACAATTTCCACTTAATTCAGTCTTCAAATATCTTTTATTGGAAGGCCATGCATTGCCTTCATTTATTGTATTTGAAATCACTGTACAGTTACTTTTGTGAAAACACTGCCTGCATTTTCTAGTACAAAAAAAACCTAAAAATTGTTTCAGGAATGTAGAGAAATATCCAACTTAAATAGCGAAAAAAGTGCACCATAATCACTGCTGCACTGCAGTCATTTCTGCATTTCCCATGTTTCTTAAATAACTATCTTGTCTGGTAACACACAATATAAAGAGCAATTATGAAAAACAGACATTTACATATACTTCTAAAGTCTTATTGAGAATACCCTGTTGGCATTGGATAGCCAATCATAGGCGCAGCAGCTGCGGTAGCAGGATATGCATATGCCTGTTGGTTCATACCATTGTGCATATTTGCAACATTACTTCCATATTGCTGAGTGCTATCATAACCGTTCTGGTAAGTCCCTGTTGGATTACCAGTCCTAAAACTGGTCTGTATACCAGCAGATACAAAATTACTTCCAAAGCTCCCATTGGTGTAATTTGCAGCACTGTAAACACCATTCTGAGTTTTAGCCCCAAAATCTCTCTTAAGCAGACTAGAGTAACCTCTGTCATAATTTTCCCTGTCTCTAAAGGTATTAAATCCACCCCTTTTGCCTGCAGAGTATCTGTCACGACGATCATCCTTCATGCCTCCTCTACCCCTGGAACGACCTGTCAAGAAAGTAAGTGAAAAGGGGTCAATTTTATCTATGGCATAAATGTGCTAACATAAAGGTAGCTCTACTCATGCCAGCTTAAGTGTTTTTCAGATTTACTTACTCCACCAATCCCATTTAAAGTAGACTTTGTAGACAACGAGGTGACCCCAGCTACCTGTAACATCTCTTACCTGAACCTCTGTCTTCGACCAACTGAAGCAACTTGGGATTAATTGCTTGATTAGCCTCCCGAAGCACAGAGATAAGGTCGCTCACTTGCTTTATGTTATTAGGTGTAAAGAAAGTGTATGCTGTGCCCGTTTTGGTACTGCGAGCAGTTCTTCCAATTCGATGAATATAATCCTCTGAGGAGTTAGGGTAGTCATAATTGATGACAAATTTCACATCTTCCACATCTGTAAGGTGTTGCAGTGTGGCAAAATAGCAATGTACGGAGTTTTGCACACCACAACAGCCAGACCAAAAATAAAAAGTTAGACAATTGTATTCCCAAGAAGGTACGGGCTGCAAAAAATACAGTTAAAATGGTTATCCATTTTCCTGTAGGAATACCATTGAGGTAGAAAAAGAGGGTGGGGCAGAAAAAAAGGAAAAAAGCACATGTCAGCTGTATTAAGTTATCACCCACCCACTGACAGCCTATCAAGGGAATGTGTATTCTCCTTAGCACATTCCCAAATTGGCAAACTCCCCTTACAGATCATCAAGTGACATCTGAGTGCTTCTGCGCAGTAGGGCCACTTAAAAGTTTCACAGCAACCTCTTCATGTGCTCATTTTTGAGGACCTTTAAGAAAAATGCACAAGGTCCTTTGCATTACACTCATCAGAAGTTCAAAATTCTGGCCACACTGCTTGTCTTGCCAAGACCTTACAACTGCAGCTGCAAGAAAAACATACCTGTCCCCCAAAAGTTGTTTTAATGCACTGTGTCTCGTCTAGGCAAGCGCTTCCAAGAAGCCAGGATTCACTTGAGAATGTGTCTCTCTCTGGCAGGTCTCGACATGACGACTACTGTGTAGGTGAGGGAGGAACTTTCGAGGCACTCTTTCCCACTGACTACGTGTGACAAGTTGGTCCTGCTCTAGGTCTCATGTGCCAGTACTCACCAATTTGTAAAAGGCTTAGTACCTTTTAAAGCTGCTCTCTCCATTTCAAACTTGAACAAAAATTTCATTGAACATTGAAGTTTGGAAATATTTCTTCGACATTTCAGCAAACTCACTGAAATTCAAAGACCCACAGATCACAGTGAACAGTTTGAAACAACGCTGTACCATGGCAATCATGCAAAGCATGGGACAGATGAAATACCACGGCAGTGAACTGTGAGGTAACTTCCATTTTTTTCCCCCGGAGAGAACAGTTTATGGGGCAGAGGTGGTATGTTCTGCCCTTTGAAGATTACTGGCACACTTTCAGCTTTTCACCTCTCTAATCGACTGGAAGCAGCCAGCCGATCACTAGTCCTCCATCCCCCTCGAGTCCTCCGATTGTCATGCCTAGGCCTTGCCACAAAGACTGCACCTTTATGTGAAAAAAACTTAGAAAAAAAATGCAGGTTAAAGAAAGCAATAAACTTTCTTTAAAAAAAACTACACGGAGATCTTCTGGGAAACCAAGCCATGAATTCGAGTTTGTACTAACCTAGCCCTCTGGAGGCCACATCGGTAGCAATCAGAATAGGAGCTTTTCCATGTTTGAATTCTACAAAGACATACACACAAATGACCATTAGTCCAAGCAAATGTTATCAAGTTATAAACAAATTTCATCTTATTTGAAATACACACCATTTAGAACCCAGTCACGTTCCTGTTGACTCTTGTCACCGTGGATGCCCATGGCAGGCCACCTGTATTAACAAGTTATATTATATTAGTGCACTCACAGTTAAAACCGGAAGACAGAATCTACCGATATTTAACCCTATAGTATTTCATCTTAGTCAAGCGCTCTCCCACTGAGCACTGCACCCCCTAGCCATTATCACTACGTTGCCATTGAATTCATTTGCATTATACCTATACTGTAGCACACATGATTCCCACAAAACTCTCTGCTTCTGATCAAAGTACTTTTGCCCTTTTCTAAAGTCTGCCAGCCATGCAGGAAACCACATACCCATCTCTCCTCATTTTTCTGGTAAGTTCATCACATCTTCTTTTGGTTTCAACAAAAACAATGGTTTTATTCTCCTTCTCACTCATGATCTCTTCCATTAGACGAATAAGCCTAAAGAGAAAACAAAGTTGTCATTTTTAAATTGACAATCAACTAAAAAAAAAAAATAAGTGTGCTTAGTGAAACATATTTACGGAAGTCAAAAATCAACACACCCGCTAAAACACTTTTGCTCCTGGTTCTTTAGGAAAGCTTATGACATGAGGCTTTCCTTACAGTAAGTACTGTTATGTACTAGCAAGCACAACACTTTGTGCTTGTGTAGTGGCTAGGTTCAAACTCATAAGGTTTTTTCTCATGCTAGCCAGGCTACCAAGCTATATCCACAACAAGCACATTGAAAAAAAAAGATCCTATACCATACTAAATTTCATTTTAAGACAAATTTCAAAACTAATTATTCTTGTACAATCAAGATTTTCTCAAGTTGCTAAGATTTAAACTTACTTTTCATCCTTTTCTACATCATGACACACATCCACAATCTGAAGAATGTTATGGTTTGCACTCAGTTCTAGTGCACCAATATTGATATGAATATAGTCTTTCAGGAAATCTTCAGCAAGCTGTCTTACTTCTTTTGGCCAAGTTGCACTCCACATTAGGGTTTGCCTATCAGGCTAAAAAATTTTGGGAAATAAATTAAGACCGCAACCCTAAGAATAAACTTAGAACTGATCTTTACAAGAACATAAGAATACACACTCTTATTTGATCCACAATTTTCCGTATCTGGGGTTCAAATCCCATATCCAGCATTCTATCAGCTTCATCAAGGACAAGGTAAGTTGTTCTTCTCAGGTTGGTTTTTCCACACTCTAAAAAGTCAATCAGTCTTCCAGGTGTTGCAATACAGATTTCCACAC